TATACATTTTTTTCTCTCATAATTATACAGTAAAGTGAGAGCACAAGGAATGTTTTCCATCAAGCCCCAGCGAGATGCCTCCACCTTCCTCCGTCCCACCCGGTGGGTCCTTCAGATCTTAGCACTTTCCACCCGGGCACGATGGGAGGAAGGTGGGGGAAATGCGCTGAGCCACTTTTTCCAGAAAGTCCTCCAGAATCTCTCCCCGACCCCCACAACTGTTACAGTCCCCTCCCTTCCAGTGCACACTTACACACGTTACCATCCCCCTCACTGTGTGTTCCTGCCGGTCTGTTTTCTCTCCGGTCCATGGTCCATAACAACCGCCCCACTGCGTGATGAGTTTCCTGAGGGCCAGGGCCACGTCGCTCTCCTCCGAGTAGCAGGGATGCTCTGAGGAGCATCACTAAATCTTTTCATTCCTCGTACCCCAGGATTAGCTGGCTTGAATGATTGCAGCAGACTCCAGAGTGTGGGTGTCTCTAGTTTGGCTGGGGCCTGGCTCTGAGATGATTAGGGTAGAAAACTATAGGCCCAGGAGTGTCAGGACCTAATAAGGAAGTGGCTGTGGGTTCTGGATTGACTAATTTGCATATGAAAGGAAGGCCTGGGGGTTGAGTCTTCTGTTATCTCTAGGAATTAGCTGACCCAAGTATGACTCCAAAATATCAAAATAAAAAGTCAATAAAAAGACATCTTAGTACACAGAGACTAAACCATTAGGGTCCCATAATCCAAGGTGGGAAAATTGCATTTACCTTACTTATTAGGTTGAGAAGCAATTGAGCGTGTGTTGGGTTGCGGGGGAGTGTTTGAATATCACCTGACCTGCAAATCACAGGGGCTGGATGGAAACAGAGTTGTGGAGAACAGGAATGTCCCAAGTAAGAGACAATTTTGCAGGACTAGGATTTTAGCCATAAGGATGATGAGAGGTGAATGTTGGGAATTTGCTGAGAAATTGAATGTGGACTCAGTGAATTAAAGTAGACAGCTAGATTTTTATTTTTTTAAATCTGACAACAGGCTGCTTAAAGTGCCAGGGAGTCAGGGAGAGGGACAAGAGCTCCACTGGGGATGTGATAAGGCAGAGAATCTGCCACAACGACCAAGGGGGGTGGGGGGCTCAGGCGTACACACAAGTGAAGCCCAGGGCCCAACGTGTGTATTTGGAGTCACATAAATTAAAAAAAGAAAGGAGATCAGATGTGTCAAAAGCCACGAGACAACCAGTAGATGAAGACTCAGAATTTTCCATTCAGTGCGCAACATGGCGGCTGTCGGGGATCAGAAGGCAGAGAACCAGGGCAGTGGTAGGAATGGTGGAGAAAGGGGCCACGAGAAGTGGAAATAAGTGTCACCTGGGAGACATCAGGGGGTCCAGTTTACTCCAGGAGACACCTTTCCTCCACCTCCAAAATTCACACCGTTCCCAGACTAAACGCGGTGAGAAGGCCTAGCTCCGTCAAGGACGCCCGCAGGCCCGGCCGCAGGGTCATGGAGGGCTTGGAGATGCGGGAGGCCTGGCCTCCCTCCCCGGAGCCCCTGGGTAGCCGGACCAACGATGTCTTCATCTGAAGAATACTGTCCTTCTCACGAGCAAATAGAGCAAGGAAATCAGTACGACCAAATCATACTTCACGGTTATAACTTGAATTTGCCAGGGAGCCAAGATTTCACACCCACGAATGAACTGCCATGATGAGATTCTAAGCGTGTGAGAGCAAGACCCGCAACCTCGTCCGTGCCCACCTGTGAGCAGAGCCCCTGCAAGGAGTGAGGAGGCAGAGGGGCGGGGAGGGAGCAAAGTGCAAGGAAGCGAAGGCCACGGGCTGGCAAGAGAAATGAGACTAAAGGAAGGGAGGAAGCAGAAGGCTTTGGGGACCTGGCAGAATCACCTGGCCCATGACACTACTCAGCCCAGGATTAGTCAGGGAAACCCCAAGAGCCAGGGCCTCCCAGGACCCCAGTGGGTAGAGGCACAACACCAAGTGGAGATAACTGTGGGCACTCCAGAGGCTGAGACTTCCAGAAAGGAGGAGAGAAATAGCAGAGCCCCAGCCAGCGTCCAGCAAACCTCGCCTGGCTGGCTGGTCATTTCCATCCCCCCAGGTAAGTGCCCCCACAGTGCTGGGCAGCCTTGGGCCTTTCTCTGTCCAGGCTGGACCCTGCCATGGACAGAGGCACAGTGGCAAGCCTGGGCCTTCGGGCCCCTCTCTCTGCGGGTTGGGAGCCAGTGCCTTTTCCGGGACTTGGGAGAAAAGAGCCCCTCGGAAGCTCCCCAGTCTCTACCACTGCAGCCGCAGAGACCTGATCCCGATGCTGCTGTCCTGGCCGGAGAGCAGGGAAGGATGAGGGGACAGGAACCTGGACGATTTCTGCTGGCTAGAAACTGCAGATAACACAGCAAGGCCAGTGTGTGCTGCGCGGACTTTGAATGTGTGATGTGAGCAGGAGTGCTGGGGCCTAAGCGTGACCCTGGTGTGATGTGCATTTGCAGTGTGTCTAGTAGGAGGGGTGTGTGGAGAAGGGATGCGGATGAGCGAGGCGTAGTGTGTGCAAGTCCGTGGGTTTCCAGGGTCCAACCAGGTGGCCGTGTAGCCACCATCCTGTCTGTGCTCAGTGTCCGATGACAACTTAGAACGTTCTTTCTCAGGTTGCTCTCGGTGGTCCACATCTCAGAGCCCACACACGAAGCTACATCTCCCTTTGCTGTGGCAAACATCTCCACACACACACACATACACACACACACACACCCCCCTTCCACTAATACTTCAGGCAAGGGAAAATCTAGAAGCAACAACCAGTTCTTCAGTGCTCCCCAGACTTCCCTGTCTCAATAAAAGCTGACCTCCCCCATTTCCACAACCCCCACTAGACTTCGGAATCCAGCTCCCCTGCCCCCGAGATGCCACAGTTATCTCTCAAGGCTGCTTCCTATTCCAGGCCCCCTTTAAAAGCCTCACCCCTGTGTGCAGGGCTGTCCAGGCCACAGCTGAGCCGTGGGTCCTCCACCTGGACAGCTCTTCAAGGTCATCTGTGGGTCCAGTCACACACCCTTAGCTGATTCATTTATCCACCTGCCTGTCTCACTAAGACTTAGAGGGCAGAAGGATTGTTTTGCTAAAGAGAAAAGTTATGGAGGGGGTAGATGGGAAGTTGCTGTTTTTGAATAGTTTTAGTTTTGCAAGATGAAAAGTTGCAGGATTTGTTGTACGATAATGTGAGCACACCTTTTACAGTACTGAGCTGTACGCCGAAAAATAGCTAAGGGGGCAAGTTTTATGTTGTGTTTTTTACCACAATTAACAATATTCTTTTAAAAAAGAGACTCAGTTCCTTTCTGTGGCTCAGGAGGACTCTCTGTCCTCCCCGATACTCTGTAGAAAGTTCTGAAAATCGTAACAGAGGCCTAAGGATCAGTGTCTTCTGAAGATTGTCCCCCCCGTGTCAGGATGTCCGGGAGATCTGAGTGTTGAAGGAGGGATGTAGCAGAGGCAGAAACAAGAAAGATGGGAGCTGAGGAGACTTGGGGAGAAACTTCTCTCTACTCTCACAAACTATATCGTGCCGTAAAATTTAACTACAAGAGTGGGAGCAAAAAGACACTCCTAGTGTGGCCAAGATGAGGTGGCTGTGAAGAGCGAGGACTGATGAGGACAGACAGGAACAGGAAGAATCCCAGCTTTGCTCAGGGAAGGAAACCTGGCGTTGCCTCTCAAGTCCCGTGAAAGGAAATCCAAACTGTATATTACATGACAAGACCCATTAAAATGTCCATCCCAATGACCCTATTCCTGGAAAGGTATTCTAAGGGAATGAGTTAACAGAAGCAAAATGAGACACACTCAAATATATCGTTTGCATCATTATCTAAAATAGCAAAAGAGAGTGGGGCCTCCCTGGTAGTACAGGGGTTAACTCTCAGCACTATCAAGCTATAGCCAGCCGCTGTACCATGAGTTCAGTCCCGGCCAGGAGGTGACCCACACGGTGCAGCAGACCCCTCCTGTCTCCCCACTGCTCCCCAGCAGTGTATTTCAGTAGATCTGCCTGTTCTGCTCCCCACTCTGTCTCTGGTGAATCCTCTCACCCCCCACAACTCTGGCCATTACCCCAGTTCTTGTATGCATAAATAAATCTTTAAAATAAATAAATAAATACATGACCCTCAAGGGCACTTTTAATCCTAAAATACCACGGGAAATCTTTTCTGACCTTGAGGAGTAGCAAAACTGCCACAGGGGAGGTGGAATTCAAGGTGAGTCTTAAAGTATCCATGGGACTTGAATAGAATGAATAGAAATTTCCCAGCAGGGGGCACACTCTATAGACATGCACCAGGCCTGGGAGGACAGTGTTGAGAGAGACAGGCCAGTGCAGGTGGCCCTGGGCCAGATAAAAGGAGCAGAAGTACAGGATGGCCAGTCCTTGTCCCACTCACAGAGCAGGTGCCCGAACCGATGTCTATGAAAAGGCATCTATGGAACCCCGAAGCATGATGCAGCTGGGCAGTGTGATCACACAGAGTCAGAGCTTGCCGACGCTCTAAATCCACCAGCTTGGACCAGCCACGGAGTCTGCCCGGGGATGCTAGGTCATTTCTTGCAGGTTTTAGTTCAGGGAAAAGAAAGGGACCCAGACGTGGCGACTCTCCATCCCACTCAGGAGAAAGGCCCAAAGTACAGGGCTGGGGTTTCGACAATGAGCTCAAGACCTGGACACGAGACCCAGAACATAGGAACAGTGGGAAATGTATGGGATTTGGAGTTGAGACACCTAGATTCAGTTCCAGGCTGCCATTCCCTGGGTATAAACCAGACAACTCATCTACCTCCTCTGAGCCCCATGGCCTCCAACGTAGCGTGGACTCAAACAGTCTCAGGTGTCAGGATGAGAGAGGACAGGATGAGAAGTGCTGGAGGAAATCACAGAAATGCAGGTTGTCCCTACATAAGCTTCTCTTCCTGGCCGTGTCCTAGGTCCAGCCTGCAGCGATGTCTCAGGAAAATCAGACTGAATTCCTCCTCCTGGGATTCTCTGACCTCAGGGTCCTGCAGGGCCCCCTGTTCTGGGTGGTGCTGCTGCTCTACCTGGTCACCTTGCTGGGTAACTCCCTGATCATCGTGCTGACCCAGGCCAGCCCCGCCCTGCGCTCCCCCATGTACTTCTTCCTGCGGCACCTGTCGCTGGTGGAGCTCCTCTACACCGCTGACATCGTGCCCAGGACCTTGGTCGACCTGGCCTCCCCGCACGCCAGGGCCATCTCCTTCCAAGGCTGTGCAGCCCAAATGTACATCTTTGTCGTCCTTGGCATCGCGGAGTGCTGCCTGCTCACGGCCATGGCCTATGACCGCTACGCCGCCATCTGCCGCCCGCTGCACTACGCCACCCTCATGAGCGGGAGGGCCTGTGCGGCCATGGTGGGCACCTCCTGGTTCATGGGCATCATCACAGCCACTACCCACTGCTCCCTCATCTTCACCCTGCCCTTCCCCAGACAGCCCGTGGTCCCGCACTTCCTCTGTGACATCCTGCCGGTGCTGAGGCAGGCCAGCGCGGGCAAGCGCAGGAGCGAGATCTCCGTGATGACGGCCACTGTGGTCTTCATCATGCTGCCCTTCTCCCTGATCGTCACCTCTTACGCCCGCATCCTGGGAGCCATCCTGGCCATGGCCTCCACCCAGAGCCGCCGCAAGGTGTTCTCCACCTGCTCCTCGCACCTGCTCGTGGTCTCCCTCTTCTTCGGAACAGCCAGCATCACCTACATCCGGCCCCGGGCAGGCTCCTCTGTGGTCACAGACCGCATTCTCAGCCTCTTCTACACCGTGGTCACGCCCATGCTCAACCCCATCATCTACACGCTCCGGAATAAGGAGGTGGCAGGGGCCCTGCAGAACTTGCTGAAGAAGCAGGTGGCCTAGCCCTGAACGGGAGGTCTCTGCGCCCCCGCCGACGGCTCTTCCCCAGCCCTGAGACGCTGGACTCGCTCACCCCCAGCCTAACAGGAACCCTGTAGCAGCCAAGATGCTCCTGGAAGAGAGTGTGGAATTAAAAGAGAGAAGACGCTGTATCTTGTTCTTCTCCCACATGGCAGACGCACTATTAGGGCAGGGATTAGTCGGGCGAGGCAGAATGGAAGGGAGCACTGACTCGGGGTAGGAGCAGTTGGCACCTTCTAGATTGTTCCGGGCCCCCGAGCAAGGTGATGAGAGACTCCAGCCCGGGAGCAGAGACCAGGTCAGTGGTGAGGGCAGATGCCTATGACCTTGACATCCAACCAAGCACCCCCCGGGGGCCGTGGGAGGGTCGACCTGGGGCTTTGATCCCGTTTCCCCAGAAGCACCTGCAGTCTCCTCAGAACACCCTGCAGAAGAGAGGGAGCTTTGGTCACCTTGGAATTATTCCCCATGGATGTTCTTTCTCACTTTCCCATCCCTGAGTTTTGACAGCTCCCATCGTTGTAGAAAAGGTCCCCTCGCCTTCCCGCTCCCTCCCACATGCGCCATAGACTCCACCCCGAACCTCCTTCCAGCACCTCAGACTCGGGGGCCCGGGGGGCCACCCTGGAAAGGAGCACACACTTCACACTCGTGACCCCCCAGCATGTGGCCTCCTTCAGCCTCTGGAGAATTCTCGCCTTCGGTCCTCTGGGGGGAGCTGGGGGGAGCAGAGACTCCTTCCTGACCTCCCAGGCAGGAGAGCTGGCTCCAGCCATAGGACCCGCCAGGCCCCATGTTGACTGAGTCGCTGGTGCCCCAGGAGGAGGGAGCAGCCGCCTCTCTCCCGGAACAGCAGGGAGGCTGCAGCAGTGCCTCCTGGCACTGACCTGGCATCGGGTCCCTCGTGACAGCACCCGCGGTTTCTCAGCCAACCCGTTCGGGTTTGGGAGTTCTGTGCACGGAGGGTTGGCCTCTGGCTTTGCCTCCATCCTACCAGCAACTCTATTTTGTTCATAATTTTCTACTTCAGCATCCAGGCAGTTTCCGTCACTGCCAAGCATTTTGACTGACAGAATGGTGTGGAGGCTGCAGGCGGCAGAGGGAGAAGCGCAGCCCTGGGGTACGAGGAATGAAGAGCTTTGGAGAGCAAAGGGACCATAGGGCCAGAGAACATGCTCAGACAGATGCAAGGAGCCCAGAGCATCCCTGCTACTCGGAGGAGAGCGACGTGGCCCTGGCCCTCAGGAAACTCATCACGCAGTGGGGCGGTTGTTGTGGACCATGGACCGGAGAGAAAACAGACCGGCAGGAACACACAGTGAGGGGGATGGTAACGTGTGTAAGTGTGCACTGGAAGGGAGGGGACTGTAACAGTTGTGGGGGTCGGGGAGAGATTCTGGAGGACTTTCTGGAAAAAGTGGCTCAGCGCATTTCCCCCACCTTCCTCCCATCGTGCCCGGGTGGAAAGTGCTAAGATCTGAAGGACCCGCCGGGTGGGACGGAGGAAGGTGGAGGCATCTCGCTGGGGCTTGATGGAAAACATTCCTTGTGCTCTCACTTTACTGTATAATTATGAGAGAAAAAAATGTATAGTAACAAAAGTTTTTAAATGCTGGTTTTACAAAAGATTTCAAATAAAATATTTAAATTTTTGCAAGAAAGTTGAGCTTTATTTTGTGAACATATTTTTTTATTAGGTTTTATGCTTGAAAAATGGCTAAACTCCTCCTGATACAGACCTTTAAGTACCAATTTCTTAAAGTAACTGATGGTCACCATCCAAGAAGACTACCCACAGACGTAGATGATTAAGAAATGTAGTATCTTTTTCAAAATCATTCAAAAGGCTTGCAATAGTTGAAATTATATAGAAATATATACTTATGTCTAAAACTCCTTTTTTAAGATTTATTTTATTTATGCATACTGGGGTACAGGCCAGAGGTGGGGCGGAGGGGTGAGAGTATTCACCAGAGACAGAGTGGGGAGCAGAACAGGCAGATCTGCTGAAATCCACTGCTGAGGGGAGCAGCGGGGAGACAGGAGAGGTCTGCTGCGCCATGTGGGTTGCTCCCTGGCCTGGGATCAAACTCGTGATGCAGTGGCTGCTAATAGCTTCATTGTGCTGAGACTTAACCCCTTGTGCTACCAGGAGGCCTTAAAACCCTTATCCTTCATTGACAATTGGTAATAATGAAAGTTCTTATAATCATGAAAAAGGATTTGAAATCAAATCATACAGAATGAAAATCAATAACAATAGCTAATACTGTTTAAGTACCCACCACATTAGTGGAGTGACACAATGTTATTTCTTTCATTAGGAATTGTCTTATTTTATTCCCATGAAAACCTTAGTGGTAGGGCCTCCCCGGTGGCGCAGCGGTTGAGCGCTGGGTTGCGAAGCTGCCCGCGGCCTCTGCGGCACCGATTCCATCCCCGGCTGCTCCCCGGCCACCAGAGGAGGGTCCCACATGGCGCGCAGACCTCTCCTGCCGCCCGCTGCTCCCCTCAGCAGTGTACTTCGGTCCTTCTGCCTGCTCTGCTCCCCGCTCTGGCTCTGGTGAATTCTCTCACCCTCCCGTGCTTCTGACTGTACCCAGTGCATGTATAAACAAAACAAACAAACAAATAAATAAATAAACATGCCTCTATAAATTTAAAAAAAAAAAAAAACTTAGTGGTAGATGTAGAGATGGATCCCAATTTTGTGAAACCTGAAGCTTATATAATTTGAGATGGTTCAATTAAATAAAATAAGACAAAAGAACAAATATAAAATTAGATACAAATGCTTATTTCAAATGAAAAAGAAATAGAAACATTTTTAAGCAATGCCACAAATGACATACAATCCAGAAAAATAATGTTTTTATAATTAACCACCTCACCAGGTGAGGTCATGATTTTTTGCCCTACATTTTTTGCTATGTACTAATCTTCAATTACCTTTATATTCATTTGACAATGATTCATAACGTACTTTCTGCAGAGAGATTGGAAAAATGATTTGTCTTTAACCTGGCATGGTGGATTAAAACTTCCTGCTCTTTTATTGACAGTTTAGAAAAATAAATTTCAACATCACAATCCATTATTGGTAATTTTATATAAATTTTATGTAAATTTTATGTTGTCAGATTTGATCAAGTCTCTATCCAGATCCTTTCATATATTTGCTATAAACGTCCACATTTCAAGTTTTCTTGTGCAATGAAAAGCCTTTGAATTGACCTCACTTTTAGGGACTTTATCCTTGAGGTTCTAATGTAGCCTGTTAAATATTAGGCTTTTTACTTTCATGGCAGTATTTTATGTCTAATCAGCAAGAAACCTAAAACTTTTTCAAACATGTTCATATGATTCACTCGCCTTCATGAACTGGGTGGTGGTCAAGTTATCTGTTGCTTCACAACACACGACTCTAAATCTTGTAGCATGAAGGAAAAATCATTTTATTATGTTCAAAAATTCAGGCTCTTAGTGGGTTCGAGGGAGGTTTGTCTCTGCTCCACAATGCCTGTGTCCTCGCCTGGGTACTCAGTAGCTGCAGGTGACTAGAATCATCTAGCAGTGTCTTTTCCCACGTGCCGGGTGACTGCAGTGACTGCGTTTGTTCACCAGACACCAGTGATCCTTGTCTCTCGGGCTTCACACAGCACAGCAGTTGGATTCCAGGGTGGCGTCTTCCCAGAGAAAACATCCAGAGAGCAGGCATTTCAAGAGACCAAGACAGGAGCTGCGAGATCCCCCTGAACAAATCCTGGAAGTCACAGACCATCCTTCTGACCACCTTCGACTGGTGACAAGTGGGAGGCTACGGCCAGCCTCGGCGGGAGTAGAGGGATGCAGGGATGCAGCAGGTCACGCTGCAGCAGAGCACGCGGGATGGGAGGTACGCTGCAGCAATCTTTGGAAAATAGTGTCAGAGAGAGACTATCAAATAATCCAAAAGTCTACATTTCATGCAAAATCATTCTCTCCCTTTTAATGAACTAGAGCATTTCATACAACTTGACGTTTAATTAAAACTTATCTCTCAATATTGAATAATTTTTAGGACCCAGCAAACGAGACTCTCCCTGGCCCTGTGTGTCCCCACACCACACCTCACTCCTGGAGTTAAGGAGCTCTTGTTGCACCAGAGCCAAGGGATGCGAGAGGCAAAGACTTGCAATGAGGAGTCTGTGAGAAAGAAGGGTGATGCATCCAGAAGTCATGGCCCCAGGCAGGCGCCCAGAGCCTCAGGGAAGGCCAGGAATTGCTCAGTCATCTCACAAGACAGTCACAGCTGCCGCCCTCCCCCAGCTTCCCTCAGTGGCTGCTTCTCCAGGTCTGCTCCGACCAACGAGTCAAGTCAAGGCGGTGAGGACAGGCCCAGAGGCAGAACTCTGAGGAGCAGCAGAGCCTGGGCCCCTAGAGGAACCCCACACTCGCCATGCAGAGCAGACCGGAGCCCCAAGGATGTCAGGTCCTGCGGTCACCCTCCTCCTTGGAGCTCTCCAAGGACCAGGCCTTTTCCTCCTAAATCCAGGGTAGTCAGGACTCCCAAAGCATCTCTTCACAAGTCGCCTCATTGCACCCGCCACCTCCTTGCTCCTCAGAGTATAGATGAAAGTGTTGCACACGGGAGTGACGGCTGTGTAGGAAAGGGTAAGTTCCTGGCCCATGTCCTGAGTAGACTCTGCCCGGGTCTCCCACAGGCCATTATCCCAGTTCCAAAAAAGAGCAGGACCGGGCCTCCCCTGGTGGCGCAGCGCTTGAGCACTGGGCTGCGAGGCTGCCCGCAGCCTCTGCAGTGCCAGTTCGATCCCCGGCCACCAGCGAGGGTCCCACACACCAAAAAAAAAAAAAAAGAGCCAGACCACACGCAGGCAGGAGGAACAGGTCGAGAAGACTTTTCGACGTCCCTGGGATGTCGCCACCCCAAGGACGGTGGCAAGGATACAGTCGCAGGAGGCCATGATAGGCAAGAAGCGGGT